GATGCGGGGTCGCGGCTGTGCCGGGCTTTGGGCTTCGCGCCCAGCTGGAGGTTTGCCGTGGGAATAGTTTGTGCAGATAAAACAGACCCGGCTTTTCCCTTCACTTTTCTGCAGCCCCCAGCTCGGGATTTTGGCTGCTAACGATTTGCTAGATGCACATTTGTTTGAGTTTTTGTCCTTCCTGAAAAGCTGGGTGCTCCTCTGGCCGCTGCCCCGGCCCCTCCTCACCCCGCTGCCTTCCGGGGGCTGCGATGCAGTTTTCCCTGTCCTGCTGCGATGCCTGACACAGGGAGCAGCCGGGGTGTTGTTTCTCAAGGGGAGCTGCAGTCTGGTTCTGAAAGTTGGAAAAGCATTTTAGTGGAAATCCTCAGATGACAGCTGGAGATTTAAGTGGGGTTTTACTTATGTCCACCAGCTCTTCCACGAGCTAAGACACAAAAGCCTTTCCTCCCCTGCCCTCTATTTTTCATCTAGGCTAGCAGCTTGTCTCTTAGTTAATGTATGTAGTTATGGATGGATTGGTTTGGACAAAAAGTAATTTTTAGTTCATGAGGACTTTTCTGTATGATTAATTTTTTCTGGAACAAGCTGCAGAGTATATTTACATTACAGTAGCTGATCCAGAGAGTTTTCCACATAGCCATTGTTTCACAGTAGCTCTTCCAGGCAATTTTTCAATGAAAAGATGTCCTGAAAGTTATTTTTTGCTTCTGTGCTAGAAATTTTTGCATATCCTTCCCACTGCTGTTTTCTTCTGGACCTTGTCAGTCACTGTGATCTTACAGCATTGTTCTATGCTTTGAAGGATCAGGGGTGTATTTTACTACCATGGTCCTTTAAAAAAAAAGAGAAAAAAAAAAGATGCTGTTCATTCAAGGCAGGACTTGTTTTTCTGGACTTACTGTAGTGGAAGATAAAGGGTATGATGACTGAACAAATGACACACCAGAGCGATGTACGCAAACATCCCAGCCTTGCTGTTTGCTTGGCAGGAGGGTGCAGGCACGTTACTGAAACGTTGCATCCCCCAGCAGCTGCCAACAGGGTCAGTGCACGCCCAGGCTCTCCGTTACCATCTCCCTTTCCATGGAGACACTAACTTAGGGCTGGAGGCGATGCTCAGATAGCACTGGCTGCAGCTGCGAGGCAGGAAAACTAGTTCATGCACCAGTTGGCAGAGGGGACAGGATCCACATGATCCAGAAGAGCAAAACCAGGTGAGCCTGGGGGATGGATTGACTCGGAAACGGCCCGAGGTAGGTGGGGCTGCCCCCACATTGTGCAGAGCAGTAGGTGCCATCAGAGCTGCAGAGCTACTGCCTTTAATATTTGTAATGATGGCAGGCTGCTCCCCCCTGAGCATGGATTACATTTCTTTAGGGTAAAGCCTTTCTCCCAGTATTGAGTGGCTGAGTAATCTTTAAGATACATTCTCAACAAAGAGCAGCCTTTGTACTGCCCGTGCTGGAGTTTGTTGCAGCACTCGTGTGTGTTGGGAGGAAGAGATGCCGTGAGCATCCAGGGCTGCAGGAGCGGCCGGTCCCTTTCCTATTTGAAATATGCCAAGCATATTCAAGGAGCTGTATGTGGAAAGCAAGAAAGGGCCATTTTAAAGGGCAGTGCCACCCTAAGGGTAACTGAGGCTCATGTACTTACTTAGCAGGATGCAGTCTTTAGTGCATTGGAAGTATTTGTCCTGGTGTCTGCCAGAAGAGCTTTAAAATCACCTTTCCTGTTTGTGGGCTTTGTGGATCTGTGGTCTCCATCTGCAAGGCAACGTGTATTTGGGGATTAGCAGATGGCGCCTTGATGGTACCAGTAACGGGATTTTTGTATCACTTATCTTTCCTTCATTAGTGGTAGGATTTGTACAGTCTGTATGAACTCAAGGGTATTTCTGACATGTCAGGTGGGATTGCAGTGTTTTGGCAACTCACATCACCCCTTCCTGTGCTTGGAGTGATTTCTGAAGGGCTGGGTGTTCAAGGTCCAGGTTGGCAGTCATAGGAAATAAACCCTTGCTAACCCTTGCATCTGTTTTTCTGTTGAGACTTAGAAACACAAAATCCTTGATAGTGGGAATTTTTGGACGTAAAATAACTGGTTTTGGCTTTCTGTGAAAAAATGTAAATGTGTCATATATGCCATATTGCAACAGCAGAAAATTCTCTGTGTTTGTTTCTTCTGCTGTGGAAAATATGTATACGTATACATGTACAGCCTCAATCTCTTCAGCTTTCAATAGCAAAAATAGCAGCAAAATCTTTTCTTTCCTCAAGGCAAGCAATAACCTTCTCTGTGGTTTTTGGAGGAGTCCCTTCTCTGCAGACAGCACTGATTTCTGCCTTCTCTGTCCCCAGCATTACACTCTCAAGTGCTGCTGGGTCCCCCTGCCCTCCCCACACTGCCTGCCACCAGTGCCCCCAAATTCACTCTGTAAAGGAAATGGGACTCAGCCCTGAATAAACACCTTCCCTTGCCGAGACATATGGCCTACTTAGTCCTCACTGTCACCCTCTTGGTGGGCTGCTCAGACAGTTGGAGTCAGATGTTTTGGGCTTGACTGACCGAGTTCCTTTTTTGCAGGTGTTTGATCCACATGATTTGTACACTGGAGAACAGTTCTCCAAGGTCCTGGGTACATTAACAGCTGTAAATAAAGCTACTGAAGGTAAGAAAGAAGGTTTTTTTCTGTTGTCTTTCAAAAAAATCTGTCTCTTGTATGTGCTTGTGTGGGTCGGGGTTTTTTTGTAATTCTTAGTTTATGATGGTTTCTGGAGGCTTGGCAGATTGTGCTGCCAGCACCAATGCCTGATGCTGGACGGTGGAATCAAGATTTCATACTTCTGCCAGCTCTGGGTTGAGATGTGACATTTCAGAGTTGTTATATATGCTCTGCAGAGCATGATTATCACTTTACTCTCAGGGACCTCAGCTCAGTGTTGACAGCATTAGGAGACCTTGAAGTAGGTCATCGTAAGGGAGCCTCGATGTAAATGAGAGTGCACCTCCCAAAATGCAAATATTGGATCTGAAATAGTGCATTTTAAAGCTGAAGAGAAAAACTGATCCATCTGCATAATATCTTTACTGAATGTCAAAACAAACGTCATTGCCAGATGCTCAGTTGATTGTATTGATATTTTCTCTCCCTCCTCTCCCTGGACCTATGGAGCAGGCTCCCGGATTTGGGAATCAAGCTGACAGCATGTCCTGCCTCCCTGGGTGTGGGAACAGGCTGCTGAAGCAAAGCAAGTCAGCTTCTCTTGTTTCCATCCCAAATATGTAGCTGTTCCCTGTAGGCTGCTTGGAGCTGATATTCAGTCACATTGGCTGTGCAAGGAGAAGTTCAAGGAGGGGAGGATGGCAGTGTGGTGCTCTGGGAAGGGGTGAGGGGACCAGGGTCTCTTCACTTAGGGGCTGAGGAGCAGGTCTGCACTGAGCTGCAACGAGTTTACAGGATGGAAAGTGGATTTGACCCCCAGTCATGTAAGCAGATTTGCATGCCCACCAAAGACCAGCACTGGCAGGAGAGATTGATTTCCCTGTTGCAGATTGCATTTTAGGTGATTAAAAAGAGAAAAATTCAAAACCCAAACCTACAATTTTCCTTTCATGGGACGGTTCTTCTGTTGGCTTACTGCATTTTGCCTAGAATTGTTTTGCAGTGGTCTTGTCAGTTGTTTCACTTCTCTTTCAGCTGATTTTTTGCTTTTGAGTTATCTTCTGCTAGTACTGAAGCTACTCAGGTGTTCAGTGAAACAACTTCATTGCTGGGTCTGGACCATCTCAATTTTTTCTGCTTTTCTGTTCTGATGCAAGGTTTTATAAAATCATTTATAAAAAGAACATATACTTACACACTATATAAACTATAGTATAAATTATCATGTATATATTATATAAACAGCAACACACGTATAATATATAATGTATAATCATAGTGTATATATGTGGATACACATATTCGTATGTGTATAATACTGCTCTGAAGAAATTCAGGTTCTTAAACTGCCTTTCTGCAGCCAGCACTCAGTTCTGCCACCAGCTCATTCCCTAGAATTCAGTGATGGTGACTCAGGCTCAGCACATCTCCTTGCAGCCTCTTACCTCTCCATTAAATCACAGCAACCAGCAACCCCATGTAGAAAGTTCTTGCACTTCAGTATCATGGGAGATACAAAATGCAGGTTACCTGGATGATGGGGAATAGCCTGTGCAAACGCTGTCATTATGATTGGCATTAGCATCATTATTCAGAAAGCAAAAAGAATAAGAAACTGCTTCTGTGCTGGCCTGTTGCTGGACTGGTGGGGTGTGTGCTGGTGGGCTTGTTATAGCAGTCCTGTTATTTACAGCCCCAGCTTGGTTCTTGCAGCCACCCATGTCCCAGGTCACCCATGCAGTCACCAGGCAAGGCTCAGGACATAGCTCTGCTGGGAGATAATTTCTATCACTATAGGCTATAGGGAAGCTGGGATTCTCTTATTTCACAGCAAACATCTGTTTGAACATATGCTTTCTCTGTTTAAATGTTAAAAAGCGCAATGCCTGTGATATAATTAGCTGCTCAGGCAGAGAGCACCCTTGGGAAAAGTACAGGGTAGAATAAATACATTTCTAAAACGTTTGCTTTTTGGTGGCTTGGCCAAGTTCCTGAGAAGCAAGAGCCTGTGTCCTACAAACCCCCACTGCAGATGGTCCAGTTTGTCCATCTTGCCAGAGGCTAAAGGCGCAGTGGAGCATCAGGACAAGCTTGGTACCAGCTTCTGCAGCTCCTGCTGTGGCTGTGGCTCTGGCATGTCTGTGCATCCTGACACCCCTGTCAGAGGCCAAGGGAAGTAGGTGACAGCTCAGGAAGCACCGTGAGAATGTGTTTCTGAGCATCCATTTGAAGTCCAAATCCTCAAGTCTTTGTGGATCTTGTTATGCAAATAACTTGAGGTATCATTTGTAGTGGATGAACTCAGAGTTCAGCAAATTTGTCCACCAAATGACAGCAAGACCGAGCTTGAAGCTTTTATCTGAAAGAGAGGGCAGGGGAGGAAACCCAGCTGTGCTGGAACAGACGAGGTCTCATCTGCCAAAAATAGTGTAGGAATGTGAGCAGAAAACCCATCTATTTTAACCATAGTTTAAGCAACATATGGCAGCAGTGTTCCATGCTGGACCAGGCATAAAATAGGATGCTGTCATGATGCAATATAAATTATATACTTCCTTGCCAAACTGTCAAAGTCAGTTTTACATTTGTTTCTAGGTTGCTGCAGATATTTATAAAAGCTTTGGAAGATTGGGAGGGGCAGGGAGAAGCATAAAATCTACAGTAACCGAGTCATTTCCGTGGGATTGTTGCTGCTGGCTTGAATAAGCAGAGAAATCTGGACTCATGGTTCATGCCCTCCCTATTTAGAAGGAATTAGGGAAAG